TGCCGAGGCAACGTTTGACAAACAACGGGAGCGACACGGGGAGGTTTTTCAGGCCTTGCTTGTGTAAGTTGAGAGGTTCGTAGTTTTTCAGTGGATAGCTCTACTTTAAAAATGGGCAAAAGGAGAGATGGAATCCTTTGAAGGCAGTTTTTATTTTCCCCAACGTCTGCACCTCCGAACGAACGAACAAGAACACACCTCCTTCCCGGAAACACCAAACACTTCCTGGTTTCCTTAACCAATCATATAATATCAACATAAACTTGTTTAAGCAATTATTAAACGGAATATAACCTAGGTAACTGCAACACAAAATAACAAAATGCTCTAATATAAAATGAAAATAATTATTAATTTAACATAAGCTTACAGTATTATTAACATGGAGATTTGAAACATTGATTAAATATATTAGTTATTATTAATAAATCACACGATGTGCTTATGTTATTTACGGTATCCACAATTATCGCCCCGCTTGGGTGGAGCCTAGCAAGAATGTATAGTATTCACTCTCTATTTCACCTTCCCCTTCACGCCCTTACACAGGTGTCCAAATATACACTCGCTTCCTCCAGGTTCGCCTGTCAGACTAACTTTGGGGCGAAGGTCTTTGTCGTTCGGGGCACACACAACCACGCACTCGCAGTTCCTGAATAATAGAAAGATGTCCACTCTCATCAGAAAGATTATTAACACCGCGAAAGCACCGGCTGCCATTGGCCCCTACAGGTAACAAATAAATATTAACATGTTTTTAATAGGTAAATCTGAGAGGTGTGTCTTAGCGGTCGTTGAACGCAACCGATGACACTTGTAAAGTGAAACTAAGAGCAAAAAGGGCATAAAGTCCAAACTTTCTTCGAAGAGCAGCAGGTGACGCAAAATTATGGCGACGATTCGCAGGCAGATTACATACACGGACAAAGCTCCGGTGAGACAGGGAATGTATAGGTAAGATGCAGGAAAAAGCTGCTTGTACACATATTTACCGGTATATAATATTGGTTTCTTTCTTTCTTGTTGTCGTGTTTTTGTTGTGTAACGAGCACACGTGTCGAAGGGGAGTTGTGTGTACGGACCAATCAGGATACTTGTGGGCGGTAACCAACCGTCGTCATCGTTTTTTAAAGGACAATTATGTTCACTAAAATCACATTCTAAGCCCGAAAACCGTAGTTGGTCAACCTAATTGGGTTTACTTCGTGTGGAGGACAGCTGCTCTTTTACTAGGACTTCCATGTGTATGAAGTCACAACCGGCACCAAAACGATAACAACGAAAAAAAAAAGATCCAACGAAGCTGCTAAAATGACATGGAAGAGGAGGGAAAACTGCAATTTACCATGCAGCTTGAGTGACACAAATTTCCAATTCTTTGTAGGATCTTTGCCGTCCACTTAGGGTCGCCATTGTCACATACTGCACCTTGCTGTGAAAAAGTATTCTTTTCCCTCATTTTGTCACATTTTTCATTTTCTTTCTTTCTCTCTTTGTATACAACAGACCAACACAAAAGCAGCGCATAATTGTTAAGTGGAACTAAAATGATAAACCCTTTTTCAAATCAGAAAATCCTGGTCACTGGATGCATTGGTTGGAAATCCTAATCAAACTGCCCATTTGTTTTTGCTCAGCCATGTGGATGTGGACTGGACACGGCCACTTTTCTGTTTCGGTGGCATCGCGACATATCCTTTGAGAAATAAATGGGAGGGATTAGTGAGGGTGGGGTATTTTGGGAAATGTGCACCCGAAAATAATGGTCATCTCAATCATGATAGTACGTCTTCAGTAAGTCTTGCTATTTGTTTTTGCTCAGCCAAGCAGTGCTGGTGGACAGGACCTTGTACATCTCTGGTCAGCTGGGCATGGACGTGGCCTCTGGTCAGCTGGTCCAGGGAGGAGTGCAGGCTCAGGCCAAACAGGTGATGCGTACACATATAGATTCTCAGTGGTGGCAAAACTACTCATACTCTGCGTTTGAGTGGAAGTACACATGCCAAAGACTGGTAAATGTTATTCCTTAGGCTCTGGTCAACATGGGGGAGATCCTTAAAGCTTCAGGCTGCAACTACACTAACGGTAACATTGCAAGTCTCGGTGTGATGACTTTTTCCTCTTATGAAACAAACCTATTTGTCTATTTCAGTGGTGAAGACGACCGTCCTGCTGGCGGACATTAATGACTTTAACTGCGTCAATGAAGTGTACAAGACATGTAAGTCAGTGCTGTTATAGTTCATGATGGTTGATTGGGCGGTTTGATTTATATCGTATGTAGTAGCACGTTTATATTGTGCCGGTCGACAGTCATCTTCATTATATGTATAAATGAACAGAAGACAACTGAGAGGTGAAATGGAAGCCGGTGACCCCACGACGTAGTTGTAAGCAGACACCGCCACTCAGGAGGTCACCGTGTAACGTGACCTCCACCAGAACCACACACAATGCTCAGTTCAGGATTCTGTTGTCTGGATTCTGTTCAACACCAACTCAAGCACACTGACTCATAAGATTAGCATTATCTCGAAAAAAAAAATAGGGCAACATTTTTTCATTGAATTTAGATTTTTTTTTAAACTATGCGCATGGTGAATTAGTGACCCTTTAATTTTTTAGGTAGATTTTTTTTTCTTCCAACGCATCCGACAACTGAGCTAATTTTGATCCCGCGTGAAGTCTGCCTAGCAACAAGTGGCGCCTGCCATCGTGCTGCCAGGAAAAACGATCCATGCAGGTCTCCTGCACCGGGCTTGTTAGTTCAAATGTTCATTTTGTCGCTAAGTTAGATAATTCATCACATCATCATTGACTTTTGCTGTCTTTTCTACAGTTTTCTGCAGCAACTTCCCTGCCAGAGCTGCCTACCAAGTGGCGGCGCTCCCCCGTGTGAGAAACCCTTTGACACGTCTACACTTGCAACTTTACTTCCACTAATTTGTATGAGCATTATTTCAATTTGTTTCAAATGTTTTTTTTTAATTCTCTCCAGGGTGGTCTGGTGGAGATCGAGGCGGTGGCGGTTGTCGGTCCTCTCGCCGACTCTTGACTAGGCGGCCATCTTGCCAACAAGTTATAGCACGACAGGTTTTTTTTTTTTTCCAGAGACATCTTCCAACAACTCACGTGGTATGGCTCCTGATTTTTTCACTCGGTCTCTGAGCTCGCTGAACTACTTTCAACACTGGCCTTTTAATCGAAAACCCCACGTAATGGAAGAAAGCACTTAATTTGCCAGTTGTTTGGACTGTGGTGCAATGTTAATAAAAGAACCTGGGCAAGAAGTGTTTTGATTCCGGCCATTTTATTACACTTTGTCGATCGCTCTTAATGCCATTTAAAATAACGGGTTTCAAAAATGCCTCAGAACTTTCTAGCAACTGTACACGGAAAGGTTAAAGAGAAAGAAATTGACAGGAATTGATTGTCATTGGATTTAAGATGAATTACTGTAAACAATGCCGCAGGATATCATATTCAATCAAATAAATGGTTGTTTGACCTGTTGTATTTCTGCAAATTGTTTAAATGTAAAAAAAAAAAAAAAAGTACGGTAAACCGTTACAGTCAGCGCATGGTGCAGCAGTCATCCCGGAACTTTTTTTTCAACTTTTATTTCAGAGAGGCGTCTCTTTCTCCAATGAAGCGGGCCAACAACATTTGTGACTCAGTTTCTCGGTCCGAGCGTACATATCGATTCATGACTTTTGGCATTTTGGCTGTGGTGTCGGAGGCGATGCAAAGTGCTCTCTCGAATGGATCATGAAGTGCTATTGCGAAAAGGGCGGCAAGGCACACGGTGATGATGTCACAGCTTCTCCATCTTGGCATTGGACAGGATGTGGACAGTCTGGTGGCCAATGTCAGTCGATTGAAGCTAAACGACGGCAGGCGGAGGGGGAAAGAATATAACTCCGAGTGACTGTACTGCAAGTCAACGTGTTTCAGAATCGAATGACTCCAATTCAATTATATCGGAACATTCGAAATATACAGTATCATGTAGAAATAGCGCTCATATTACTTGATGTTTTGACTTTCGTGGACTGGAAGCCTAACCTTACCACCTAATAAACATTGAAGTGTGATACATCGGAGATTAGTTGGAATGCAGATTAATTCACTGCTTGTGTGTGTGTTTTTTTTTTTTTTTTTAAATAATTGGGAAGAGGACCATGAAAAAAAATGATCGCATCTGAAATTGGGGGGATATTCCAATTGGACTATTTTTCAAAATCATTCAGCCTTGCTAAAAAGGGAGCTCACCTGGTGCCTCTTCTGTTTCTCGTTTTGGTTCCGTCAAATCGGCGGCTTCTGCTTGAGCTGATGCTAATTTGGGTAAAGGTCACAATAACACAACGTTAAAAGAGATTGAACATTTCTTTACGCTACCCACAAAAAGTTTGAGGGCTATCGGACTTGTCACATCCAAAAAATATGGCTTTACAACAACAATAATCCACACTTTTGATTGACATCATTTCGGGGCTAACACATGGCCCTCACACTGTATCAAATCGATACGGCATTAGGTGCTGAGATTACAGTCCAGCTTCTAAAAATATCATCAATGTTCAATTACATTTGCTGTTCACTGAGACATACTTTGAGTACAAATAAATAAATAAATAAAAAAAATTTAAAAAATGCTATGTTGCGTTTTCCCGCCTCGGTGACATGAATATTGTTGTGTCGTTAGGCTGGATTGTGAGTAACTCAATAATAGCCACATCTAATATACACCACAGCAAACCCCATTTTGTGCAGTTGCTTTGTGCATGAATATTATGTTATAAAAAAAAGCAACAGAGCTTATTCTTTCAAGAGTTTTGGTACCTGGGCTGCTGGTTCCATTGCTCTCATCTGTTTTGACTCCAGGTTTGGTCGAGTCCATCGCTGAAGTCTGGGAGCTTGTGGAACATCCCATCCTGTCGGGTCCAAATGAGATTGGACGGGAAGGAAAGAAATACTTTGGAGGTTGGGATTTTTGCCCCTTTGCCTCATGCGTGGCGCCGCATCTTGGTGTGGTTCCCCCGCTGTTGCGGTGGTGGACTCAAATTAGCTACACACGTCGGTGCAGTCAGTGTCGGATTTGTTGTTGACTGTCACTCGGGCTGTTTCCAGGAGGCTGGCAACAAAAATACATTATTCAAGTGGTCAGCAGCTTGCTCGTGTGCAGAGGCTGCCGCGCCTCACTGGTGGGTGACATAACTGTGTGGAAAGGGGGTAATAAAACAAAACTGCATCGTATACAGAGTGACCTCCTACCTGAAGTTGTTGTTGGTCAAACCTTTCAGTCTTCAGTTTGAATTGAGCATCTTTTCCTTTCAAGACACTTCTCTGAACAGACTGTTGGGGAAAAAAAGGAGAAGTCAAACAATCTTATGAGCTCTTGAATCATCTCAGTTTATGATACTGAAAAGGATGTGACAATTCTTCTGGCTGGCCGATGATGAGCACACAAAGACACCGCCGGTTGACTCAATTTAGCGGACTCAGTTGATACGCAGTGGACTCCGATGAGTTGGTTGATTGACTGAAGTTAGCGCATTCATCATAAATGATGCGGACTCCAACCGTTGAGTTCGACCAGTTAACCGACGTCTATTGGGTCAGACTCTGAAGATTCAGTAGTATCGGTTCACTCCCTCGAGTTTGTATTTGCATCTGTTGCTATTTTTGTATTTGTACCATGAACTTATGTCACTTTTGCATGTTTTACATCAATTAAGTTCGATTCTTGCGGTTCGATATTTAACTAACTCAATTGTTGGCTCCAAATAGGTTGAGACAAATGACACCACTGCACTTGCTCACGTAGGGAATTTTACATTTAGACTCTAAATGTAAAATTCTCCAAATTTTAGAGCGTTTGAGCGCCAACTTCCAAAGTATTACAGTTGAAATTAAGCAAAACAAATGACCGTCTACCTCCATACACAAGTTATTGAAATTCAGAAATGCATTCAAGACGATATGTCGTGAAAACAGCTGACATCAACATTTCAAAATGTGCAAATGGTTGAAAGGCATCAGGAGATGCGCACGAGCCTTTTGCGCACGCTCGCCTCCAGACTGCGCCGCAAAGCATGCTGGTCTTTCCTTTCCCTCCGAGGCCATATTGGAATAAGCTCACAGTAAGGAGCTCTCACAAGTTTTCCAATAAAAACACCCCCAAAGTGACACTTGTTGCTTTGTCTACGCGCACAGAAAGTCACCAAAAGCTCTGACTGTTTCCTTGTCGCTCGTAGGTCGGCCGGCTTCGGACTAGAAACCGCAAAAATGGTGGCCGCCAAGAAGACGGTGAGTGGCAGGCAGCTTTTCCTCTCGGCACGCGCTGGCCGCTTCACGTGGAGGCGAATGCCAGGCTAGGCCCGCTAAGCTAACATGATAGCACGAGACCGTCACATGTTCGTCACGTATGGCGAAACCCGGAGTCAAGTTGTAGCCAGTTATTGATGAGGGCCTGTATCTTGAGCCGGCTTACGCAGTCCAAGAGTGCCTGTCAAATGCCCACTGAAGCTAATGCTAACACGGTGGCTAATTCCAGTCGAGCTACGTTGCCGCTGACCCTTGGTAATGTGCTTTTCGAATGCAGAAAAAGTCGATGGAGTCCATCAACTCCCGACTCCAGCTGGTGATGAAGAGTGGCAAGTACGTGCTGGGCTACAAGCAGTCCCAGAAGATGATCCGACAGGGCAAAGCCAAGCTGGTCATCTTGGCCAACAACTGCCCGGCTCTCAGGTAAATACCACCAAAACAAGTGTCTCAAAAACGCTTTGTACCGTTCAGTCTACCGAAATGCTTACTATCGCCACATCATGGAAAATGACACAGAGAAATGCCCCCACCCCAGGCGTTTAGCTTCCCTCTTTGCAAGTGTATTCTTGGCTGCTGCTGTTTTGGTTAGCAATAAAGTGAATTAAGACTCCGGTGTTTTGAAGAATCTATGCACTGAGACGCACACTCACTGCTTGTTTTTTTTTTTTAAGACGTGTGTATTTGAAGGAGGCGTTTATTTGACCTGGACGCACTCATCTCTGTCCAGCGACCACGTCGGGGGCTATTGAACGCTGAATGTGAAATCATTACTACCGCGCATGGCTACAGTCAACCTCTTGACCTCTAATTCATCTGAAAGAGTTTTGTTCCTCCTCGGTCGGTGCTGCTGTATTGTTTAGCAACAGAGTCCAAATAGGTCACTCTTGACCCCAATTAAAGAAGGAAGGCATCTGTTTACCCCATGACGCCATTTTGTGCCCCTCTTATAGGAAATCTGAGATCGAGTACTACGCCATGCTGGCCAAAACCGGCGTGCACCACTACAGCGGCAACAACATTGAGCTGGGCACCGCCTGCGGCAAATACTACCGCGTGTTAAGTTTTATGTCTTCACAGCCTTTTATAATTGTTAATGTTGAAAGTGTGACGTATGACATGACCTGTCCAGTTTGACTGTGAAACAGATGAATGCACTTTTAGGGAGAGAACAATAATGAAGCAATACTTGAAGTTTTATGTCTTCACGGCCTTTTATAATTGTTCATGCTGAAAGTGTGACGTATGACATGACCTGTCCAGTTTTGACTGTGAAACAGATGAATGCACTTTTAGGGAGGGGCGTGGAAGGAGGTTTTTGCTGACTTGTTTGTTCTCTGCTTCTCCTTGCAGGCGATTCTGACATCATCAGGAGCATGCCTGATCAGCAGCAGCAGCCTCAGTAGACCTCCCCGCTATCCCTTCACCCCGATTGTCATAAATAAAGTTGGTGTTGACAATAACTGCCCTCGTTTTTGTTTTTTTTTAAATCAACCCATTGTGGTTAAGTACCGTGTTTTTTTTTTTTAAATCAACCCATTGTGGTTAAGTACCGCAGGTGGCCACATGAAGTCGGCAATGTCATAAATCCAGCCAAAAGTGTCGGAGAAGAAATAAAAATCAGCCAACCCCATTACATGTTTGTTTGTTTTTTTAATTTCAGAGAATTGTGGACACATCAGTGGATCATAAAGGACAGTCAAAGGGATTCTGACAATTATAAACTGAGGCATCAGTCATCCCGGCTTCCACCATTTTGTCTTTAATGCTAACAACTGTGCTGAGCTTTCCCATCGCTGCCTTCGAATATCAAATGGCTCTGCAGCTTTTCCTTTTTTGGACACAACGACACGCAATGTCATGTCTGTCCCATTAAAGTGCAAGTTCACTCTAATTGCATGTGCAAAAGCAGTGGTCCTCACTCACTCATGAAGGCGCCCAGCTAGTTGTTAGGCCAATCAAGTTTTCTCTGTATTGAGAGTTGCGGGTTGAATTTAATGCTGACGGCAATTGGATAGTATTTACTGATGTTAAGATAACAACCTATATTAGTAAGGAACCAAGTTACTAATGCAGAGTCTGGGACTTTTTTTTTTTTTTTCCCTGTGATGGACACTTTCGTAAGGGAGCAAAATGATGTGTCTTAGCTATTTCACTGATTGTTTGATTTTCTTTAAATTTGAATCATTAGCTCTTAGATCTGCATTTTTTTAAATGAATCTTGGCACTAAATGTAAGAAGCAAATTATTAGGACACATAAATGCTATTTAGTTAATAGAATACTACCAATTTGATTCAGGCGCTCTAACCAGTTTGTGCTATCATGCTACGTTAATGCGCCACATAAGATCCCATTCACCATTTGCTTGGAAAAAGGTCGGTGATGCGCACAAAGAGCGTTCTCTTGGGTCGTTCAAGGAAAATGCCTTGAAGCCCTGCTGAGCTCAATCAAATGGGTAGAAAAATAAGACGCAAAAGAGGAAGACGTCGCCGTTTTTCTGTAATTCAAAAAGAATTTTAAGAGAGCGTGATTTCCTCGCGGCGATGACCACCGCCCCCCTCAGTTATTACAAAAAATTTAAAAATACCCCGTCGTTACATTCAAAGAGGGAGGGGGATGAAAAAGTGCTCTTGCTCCTCACTCAACAAGCAACCACGAGGGAGATTCACAGTATCAGAGGGCTAAGAGTTGGCGGGTGACTTCAAGTGCATGTCCGTCTCCTTGCAGAGTGAAGAGGACCATACGTCACCGCGACAGAAATACTGTCTCAAGGCGCCGCTAAGCTAATGGAAATGCCGGCAGGAGTCGACATCCAGGACTCAGCTACAGCTACTGATGGAGGTACAGGGGTGGCATTACAGAGAAGGGGTGGGTGGGCTCAAGGCTCCCCATACTGGGGAGGGGGCTCCTTAGCCGGGATGGCGACCACCTCCTCGTAGGGAGGAAGCAGAACCTGAAATAGAGCACAGAACAGAAAGTTACAGGGCGAAAAGTGGAGTCCGGTTGCCTCGACGGCTCGGGAAACCACCAATTGCAAGTCTTTCAAAAAGTATTTAAAAAATAAAATAAACCAAAACTTTAAAAAAAATGAATATGTTGCTGGTCCCTCTCTCTGGAATGACCTCCTACTGAACATTCGGCAAGCCTCCTCGCTGCCCATCTTCAAAACCCGCCTCAAAACTCACTTGTATTCTTTGGCATTTGACTCAGCCTGACTTAGATTTGTTCTTGGTTTTGCTGTTCGGTGCTTTCTACCGTCTTTATTACCGATTTGCTTTACTGTTTGTTGTACATGTTGAATTGCTCCATGTACAGCACTTTGTATGCAGCGATGGCTGTTTGAAAGTGCTCTATAAATACAGTTGAGTTGAGTTGAGAATGTGTACCTTAGACCTTTTCAAAATTAGAATGACATTTATTTTTAACATATTTTAGGATTGGTCCACTTCTCTGTTCTTTCACATAAAAAGGAGAAAAAAATGTGTCTTTGGAAAAGTCTATAATGTCTCAAACTTTTGATGGAGACCCACAGGGATCAGTTCTTGTGCTTCGAGATGTGTATTGGGGAGTTTGTTGTTTCAGCAAATGAAAGAGCATATTCGAAACGTTAACAATTGCAATCAGTTGAAGGAATCCAAAATGATACGAGTCAAAAACATTGCCGTTCCAGGGTTTTCTCAGTCCCTCTTTTTTATCCCCAAATGGTAGCAAATACACATGCTCTTGTTTTGTTTCAAATGGAAAAAGAAATCCCACATATTCTATATTGTTCAGCATATTCTGCAAAGACCCACGTATTCACATAAGTGAATATGGTATGTTAAAAAAATGTGATTGAATGAGCGGTTTTGTCGTTATCATGCATGACTGGTGGCGTGACTTGAGAAGAAATGTCCCTCACTGAGCTTTATTTTTATTTTTTTTTTAAATAAATCATCTGCCATTACTAATTCTGGCGAGTGGGGAAAATATGCTTTGAGGGGATGCGATTGTGAGACATCAGCTGGGAGGAAAGCCTTGCGAAACCCATCACGGCCGGGATTTGAAATGGAGCGGACAAGCAGACCGTTACGTAACGTGTCCGCGGCAAGAGAGGATGCATACAAAGAGCACACGGAGGGTGTATGTGTGCGTATAAAACCTCCACGGATGCCCTTTGAATGGCAATAGCGAAAGCCCCCCCCCCCTTCCTTCAAGGCGGGCCATTCATATTCACTCTGCTTAATGAGCGCGCCGACTTG